CTTATGACAGACTTCTGGTGATGTCAGGGGGTGTGGCCTTATGACACACTTCTGGTGATGTCAGGGGGTGTGGCATATGCTAATGAGTTATGCTAATGAGTTCCCCTAGCTCTTTTTCTACGAAATGACCCCTGCAAATCCCCTATTCTGCCAAGGAATCTTGTTGGGTGACCTTGAGTCACTCCAACTTTCTCAGATTAACCTACGTCACAGATCGTTTCAGAAGGTAGTAGTAGAACATCTCGATTTGAGTCCAGTAGCACTTTAGAGTCCAATAAGAGTTTCAAGCTTTCAGAGTTAAAGCTCCGATGAAGGTATCGGACAAAGAGAACTTTGATTTTTGAACCCTTATACCCTGAAAATCTCTTTGGTCTTGAATGTGGTACTGGACTTGAATCCAGCTGTTCTATATCACAGAGTTTTTGTTGTGATGATAAAGTGGAGGAGGGAGAATGATGCTGTAAGTCACTTTAGGTCTTCACTGGGGAGAAAGTGGAATATATATCTCTCTCCTTATATATAATTGAATAGTGGGTGCCAAAGTTCTAATTCTAAAATGCACTCCCTTAGTGTATGGCTGATGGCACTGCTCCTCAGCATATATCGCCACCAATCAGAAGGCAAAGCCCGGGTCCCGCCCACACCACAACTGCTGCGACAACCTGGTCTTTTGCATATGGAAGCTGATTGGACTTCAGTCCATTCCACACCTCAAACTCCCCCCCCCGCAAGGCAGTTGGGATTTTCAGTTGCATAACATACCTCATAGGGGAGAGGAGAATGGGTAACAATGGTTACCACTCTCCAGGTGAGGGCTACAGATAACTCAAACATACAAATGCTCTTCAGGTAGCAGAGATCAGTCCCTCTGGAGAAAACAGTGGACTCTGTCATTAAACCCTGCTGAGGTCACCACAGGAAACTGACACTGTTTGCCCAAAGCCAGAGCACTCTCCCAGAGCCTCTTTCTAGATCCCGTTGTATTTATTTCCGCAACGGGCATTATTTCTAGTATATCTCTAAATAGACAAATGTATGTAGAACCCACACGAATGCAATGAGTGCTCCCACTTTCTGGCCAGCAGCTGCTAGAGTTCAATAGACACATCAAGATAGTTTCTGTAAAGCTCTGAATCCTAGCTTCTTGGAACATACTTGTAGACTTCGTGTCATTTTGAATCTTGCCAGAGCTGGGTTGAGCTCCATCACTAAAGAAAAGCAGCATGATGGAGCCCTAAGAAACGGCAAAGCAACCTAGGCATGCCGTCACCGCTCCTTTGGTTCTCACTACAGATAGTCCTGAGCTCATGCTGTCTATTGCGTGCTTTCTTCTGGAAACTCTTCTCTGCACCATGAGCTGGTGACCACATCAATCTGGAGACTTGTACTTTCAAGAACTATTAGGTCACTATTCAACTGGTGGAGTTGTCATTTATGCATGGTGGCAAAAACTATTTGTTATGTGTGTTCATTTTGGTTGTAAGTAGAACAGTCTAAGAAGACAGTCGTCTCTAGTGTGATTTGTACAGTGGTCTCTGTAAGTGGCAGAAGGTTACAGATGACAGAGACGGCATATATCTGGTTGGAAAAATGTGAGGTTATACAGAAACCTTAGTGGCACACAGGTGATGTCTGGTTGACTAGACAAGGGTTGGGAATGGTTGCTTCCAGCATGGTGACCTGAGCAAGAACACAAGCCACAGTACAACTCAAATGCTAAGCAACTCCTGCCTCTTGTCATTTTTGCCGCTACCTTGACAAGGATGAATAATCAGTAAAGGGAGGGGGGAGAGCAGTAGACAGAGAAGAGGCAAAGTGCTCTGTCACCCATCTCTTACAACCTATTGTCTGCTGCACAATCTGTCAAAAAGCCAGCCATAGCCACCTTTTAGCATCTGCCTGACGTTCTTTGCAAATCCCTTCAGAATGCGGAAGACCACAGGCGAGTCAGCGGAGGAGTCCACTTGATGCATGGGGCTCTTGTCCATTGGCCTCTCCCTGACTGAAAAATGGTTCTAGACATAAACTCCAGCACAGGACAGAAGCAGCATTTACCTCCTGGAATTTTTTTAAAAAACCAAACAAACACTGCAGTTAAAAAAGAATCACAAAATGGGAAAGACTGATGTGGAGGCTTGGCTCTTTGCCAGTATGAAATGGGTTTTTTTTATAGTGATATTTTAATTTGTACAGTATTTGAATGCCCAGGGCACTTTGAACGTATAATATCAGTAATTCTTACAACACTGTAAGACAACCAATATTATCAATCATTTCCTTATTCAATGACTGGGGGGTGGGGGGGACCAAGACGACAGTATGCACTCCAGTCCATTCTAATCCTTACTGCAAATCTGGCAGCACAATCCTAGGTACATTTACTTGGGAATGAACCATGCCGAATTCCATGGGTTTACTTCCACATAAACATGCTTTAGGGCTGGGTTGCAATCTCAGATCAGCAGAGAGAAAGCGCATCTTACAGAACGAAATGGAGCTGCGGTGGCTCAAGTGGTTAAGACACTGAACTGCAGCCTGTGGAAGGTCGGTAGTTCAGCAGTTCGAGACCCGAGTGTGCCGCATGACGGAGTGAGCTCCCGTCTCTGGTTCCAGCTCCTGCCAACCTAGCAGTTCGAAAGCAAGAAATTGCAAGTAGATGAATAGGTACCACTTCGGTGGGAAGGTAACAGTGTTCCGTGCGCCTTGGTGTTTAGTCATGCCGGCCACATGACCACGGAAACCTCTTCGGACAGCGCTGGCTCTTCGGCTTTGAAACGGAGATGAGCACCGCAACCCTAGAGTCGGACTCGACTGGCTTTCGAGCAAGGGAACCTTTACCTTTTTAGGCACTCTGCATGAGTGGCGAGCAAGGGAACCTTTACCTTTACAGAACGAAATAACGGACTTCCAATATTCACAGGTCAGGCTCAGTCCTGCACGTTCATAGTGGAACACCCTTATCCTCACCCTAAATTTGTCCAGCACATATTTATATAGGTATTTCTAGCCTGTTTTGTACCCCAAAGGCAGCCTAAACAGCCCGGACTAGCCCAAGCTCATCAGAGCTTGGAAGCAAAGCAGGGTCAGCCATGGTCAATATATGGACGGGAGACCACCAAAGAAAACAAAGGTTGCTATGTAGAAGAAAGCAGTGACCAACCACCTCTGCTCATCTCTTGCCTTGAAAAGCCCATGAGATGGGAACTTCATGGGGTTGCCCTAAGTCAGCTGTGACTTGCTGGCTCTTTATCATCATCATTTTCTCCCCGATGGGGACCCAAAACAGTTTACAACACTAATTTCCCTTCTGCCACTGTATCCTCCTAACAACCCTTTGAGGCAGGTCACCCAAGCAAGCTTCCATGGCAAAATGGTTGTTCTAGCTCGCATCTCCCAGACAGTAGTCCAACTGTCAGACCACACTGGATCTCACAGCTTGTAATGGAAATGTAAAGTGGTGCAGCAAAGATGTGCACTGATCAGTGAGCAGCACACCACAAACAACAGTTAATACAGCCAATATATCCTTAAGGAACTTACCATGTCTATTGAGTGCCCGTGACTCTCAGGCAGCTGCATTTCAGCACTGCCCTCACAGAAAGCAGTGTTTGTACATTAGAGAGAGAGGCCTGTTTTCCCAGCTGTGAAATATAGCACATAAAAAGTGCTTGGAAATGTGCCACATCCCTACCACAGAAAGGCAACAATGCGCACCACTGAGGAGGAAAGAACTAGCACTTTTTGCACAAAGAATCTTCTTCATAACTGAGAGTGTGAGCCAGAGAGAAGGAAGGCCTTTAATGCCGTTTGCTGTGTTCAAAACCTAAGCGAGACCCACCAAGACCTCCAATATGGTCTGGCCTCCATCTGAGCTGTAACAACTGTAACAACAGAAATGCCTCCGGCGCACAACGCTGTGGGTTGAGGAAAAAGGGCATCACGCCTAAAACAAACACTGGGTTATTATCTGGCATTATTTATGTATTTACCTTTTTACCAAAATAACTACTATGAAAGTATAGGGGGCGCAATTTTATATTCTTGCCTCAGGCGCAAAATTCGCTAGCGTTGGCTCCCTGGCTTCCAGATCTACACTGAGAAGAAAACCGCAGGCGTTCAACTGCACGACGAACAGTATTTGCGTTCCCATTTGTTCTACGCTCGACCCTAATCTTGGCAGCGCAAGCCCCAGACGCGTTTGCTCGAGAATAACCGGCGCGCTCCCCAAATAAACATGCTTAGGACCACCTCGCAGTCTCAAAGCGGTCGTGGCAGAAGGCAGCTCCCGTTATAAACTCCGACCAACTTCAGCCCGACAAGGCAGAGCGCCCAAAACGACACGCAATGAATGACACCGGCAGCGTCCCACCCTGGCACAGAGCGCCGGAACTCACCTGGGAACTAAACGGCCCCCACTTCCCCAAGCCACCAGAAGGCACAAACACACACACCCCCTAGGCAGGCTTCGACAGGACCCCAAAGCGCCCCCCAGGTCCCGACCTTCCCCGACGATGCCCTCCCCGCTCCTGGGCTGTCTCGGCTGAACTCCCGAAGCTGGGAAGTGCCAAGTCATGCCCCTCACCGGGCGCCCAAGGGCTACCGCTCCCAACGCCACTGACCCCGGCTGCGGGCTGCGCCCCGCGTCGCATCGTCCCCCTTCTTCGGCCCTTTCTCGTCCCAGTTTCCCCGATTTTGCCCACCTGCCCCCGCTAGACTGCAGAGAAGCTGGATCCCGGGAGAGGAGGGCGGCGACGGCACTCAGCCGCTGCGCTGTAATGTACTTAGGCTACTGCGTTACAAGCGGCGGCGGTGGCGGCCCAGTGCGCACACGCCTCCATCCCAGGCGGCGATAAGCGACGCCCCTTCCGCCCACAAAAGTGGGCGGGGGAAGCTGGAGGAAGAAGGACAGGCGGGAGGCGGCCGGCGGCGCCGTCTAGCTCATCTGTAATTAGCTCGATGATGTTTCGCCCGGCAAGAGGCAGGACGCCCGGCAGCCGCAGGAAAATGAATTGTTTCAAGCAGGATCATTCCAGACGGGTGGATGGTGCAGACCCCAGGGACCCCTTGGAGGGTTACAATATTTATTCCAGCCTAAACTGGGCTGTGGTTTTTGTCAGTCTTTAAGACTGCGCCCCCCTTCACCACAGACTCTTGTTTTCATTGGGCTAGATCTGTAGTCCTTGACACAGGAGCGAGCCCCGCCGACGCACAGTGGGTCGAGAGGCAGGAGATCTTGCTGTCAAGTCCTCCAGCGTTCGGCTGGACAAACGCGTTTACTTTGTGTGGGCCGATTAACAGTCGACCCCACGGGCGTCCGCATCGTTTCCAATTAAACACGCTCGCAGATCCCCCCTGATTCCTAGAGAAGTGGGTTTATCGAATTAAAATATTCCCAAACCGCTTTTTCTTACAGGATGGGGGTGGTCCTCAGTAGTTCCAGACCTGGTTGGGACCTCGTGAGCTTCAGGCGCCTGAGCCGTGATGTGACATCAGAGTCACGTTTCAGAAGGAAGGGCAGCGGAGGTTATGACCTCACCTGCTGTGCACGGCAGACGTAAAGAAACGGGGACTGGACACATGGCTCCAGGAGGTGTACCGTGGTGAGGAATGCGCCACGGAAAAATCCTCTCCACAACTTGAGTGACCTTGACTGCAATCCTGAGAGTACAGCCCCACTGAACAACAGGAGACTTACTCCTGAGTAGACCTACTTAGGATTGCTGTCCTTGTCTCACCGTCCTGCTGTTCCTCTCAGCATGAGTACAAAGACAGATGGGTCAATCATAACCAAAGCCTGCAAAAGCATGCAGGATTAATTCTGATATGGAACAGATTCATCCAAATCGGAAACGGCAATTATATATATATTTTTTAAACCACGTTGGCCATCTCTTTCTAGCCTTGAAAATTTGTGCCCTTTGACTAGGATCAGGGATTTTGCTTTAAAGAGCTTTTAAATCAAGACGGGCAGTTGTTGTTTCAGACTGTGAACCCACATAAGGTTGCCAGTCTCCAGGTGGGTCCAGGAGATATCCTGGAATTACATCTGGTCTCCAGGTCACCGCTGGAGAAAATGGCTGCTTTGGAAGTGACATTATGCCCATTACACCCCCCTGAAGTACCTCTCTTCCCCAAGCCCCACCCTCTGCAGGCTCCACTCCCAAAATCTGCAGGAGTTTCCCAACTTTAGGGTTGCCAGCTTTGGTTGGGAAATACTTGGAGATTTGGGGGGTGGAGACTGGGAAGGGTGGAGTCTGGGGAGGTCGGATTGATTGCCAGGTCTCCCTTGGCCACTGGCAGGGGGTAGGGTTGCCCGATCCAGTTTGGGAAACTCCTGGAGATTTGGAGGTGGAGCCAGGGGAGGACAGGGACCTCAGTGGGGTACAATGCCACAGAGCCCACCCTTCGTAGCATCCATTTTCACCTGGGGAACTGGTCTCTGTAGCCTGGAAATAAATTGTTATTCTGGGGGATCCCCAGGTCCCACCTAGCATCCCTACCCAACCTAGAGCTGGCAACCTTAATACTTTAAGGCTTTAAGAAAGTTTCTACAAAAGCAATCCTAAGCAGACCTACTCAGAATCCTTCTCAGGGCTATTCAGTGGGACTTAATCCCTACAAAAACATTTGTAGGACTGCATTGTACCCCATTCAGCCTGATGCTCTTCCTGTTCACTCACTAGTAGGAATCCCTCATTTTTTTACTCCCAAGAAAGCGCACACAGGTTTGCAGCCTTTTGACAGTTTCTTATCTGGAATAGAGATACCACTGATCTCATGAATACTATACCAATAGCTGCGGTGGCTCAGTGGTTAAGACACTGAATTGCAGACCGGAAGGTTGGTAGTTCAGCAGTTTGAGTCCTGAGTTCCTGCCTGACAGAGTGAGTTCCCATCTCTGGTCCCAGCTCCTGCCAACCTAGCAGTTCGAAAGCAAGAAATTGCAAGTAGATAAATAGGTACCGCTTCGGTGGGAAGGTAACAGCATTCCATGCACCTCGGCGTCTAGTCATACCGGGTACATGACCACAGAAACATCTTCGGACAGCGCTGGCTCTTCAGCTTGGAAACGGAGATGAGCACCGTGGCCTAGAGTCGGATTCGACTGGCTTTCGAGCAAGGGAAATATAGGCCAATCCTTTACTATAACAATGGGGGTGGATCCCATCATCCTCCTTTTCTAAGCCTAAGGAGTCTTCCTCCAATTTATGTGGCTCTCCCTCCAATGGAAGAACCAGTTAAAATGGAGGAAGTCTCCTTAGGCTGGAGGAAGGCTTCAAACTTTGCTCAGTGGAGTGGTAAGATACGGATTAGGACCCACTCCAATGTGACTGATGCCTTTTAAACACTTAAATACTGTTATTGAGTCTTGCAGCTGCCTCTCAGATTAGAATAACTAGCCGATGCTCGTATGAATAGATCTCCATGAATGATGATTACTTTGAATTTACAAATGCATTTTTTAATGAATGACATGATCTATTTCAAGTAATTATACCTATGAATTATACCTATGTAATTCATATACAGCAGTGGAAGAATCTCATACCTTAAGATTTCCAGTATACTATACCACCTTTGAAGTAATATAGGCCAATTCTTTTCAGTATTTTTAACTTCTCTCTCATCTGGATGCTCCAAATGAGTTACAACAACGTATTAAAAATATACAATACGAATGTAACAGATAAAGAATAAATCAAGCAGAGTTACGTGTTTCTAAGGGTGGATGTAACTCTGCTTAGGACCGCACCACAAGAATATTAACAGAATTTTTCAACTGTATCCTACATTAAAACGCTTCCTCTTTAGTGAAGTTCCCAATATTTATGTGTTCGGGGTAGAGTATTATTCCTTACTGTTGCTCAGTTTGACTATGCAGTGTGGTCTACCTCACAATGAACAATGTCTTCTGTCAGATGTTTTTCACAATATACACAATATAGGCCGAGAACTCATTTCACTATGAACTATTTATCTCAGATTGTTTGAGCCAGTTCTAGAGCTGGAAAAAGTAACAGTAGGCAGAGCCCTCTAGGGAAATAAATGTCTGTCATTTATGCTGAGGGACCAATTAGCGCCTTGTGTTGACATAACTCAAAGGTTTATCTGCCTGGTCTTTGTGGAAGGGGGGGGGGGAAGCCATCCACAGTCTGGGGTTTGTAACTCCAATTTGCAAAGCAATTGGAAGGGTACAAGCAAACAAAAAGAAAAATAACCCTGGACCAAAACACCCACACTCTTTGTATCATTTCAAAGGACGATCTACCATTATTTGATTTCAGCATTTCAGTTAATTAGAGACTGATTTGTCCATGTGTGTGTCTGTGTGTGAACATTTAAAAAAAATACACAGGGCATGGAGAGAGAATAAATGACTAAAACAGAGGGTTGGATGCAGTCAGCTTTTCTGCTGGCGAAAATGGAAGGATCCCCTTTGACCACCAAAAAAGACTGTTAAGTCCAGCGCTTAACAAATAGTCGGAGAGTGATTTCAGCAAAAAACTCAAGTTTAATCTTCAACACGAACACTTCTCCAACACGGTACAACATGTGATAGCCCAAACAGCTTGTCCATAGTAGCTGCTCGGTATTTAAACATTTCCCGGCTAATATAGCCACGCCTACTATACACATAACAACCAATACGATTGAGTGTATAAAAGCCAATCACCTTCGTTCCCGCTTACAGCTTGCTTGAACGTGATTGGACACATTTGCCTTGGGCTTGAATCCTTGCCCAAGACAAAGCTTAACATTGCTTCCCTATGAGATGTTTCACATACATCTTAATGCATTCATGGCAGCTTCTGAATACATTACAAAGACTATGCTGGGAATCATGGGATTCCTAAGACAAAAGGCATGTGGAATGGGGTCTGTAGTAAGGAAGGGAATTACGTGCCACTGAGTTTTTAAAAGCTGGCTGGATCCAATCCAGAGTATGCAAAATCTGAATATGGCCAGCAGTAGAGTTGTGTGATTTTCAGCTCCCAACAGAATTCCTGTTCCATCAGCCAACTTCTGGGTACGTATAACTATGGCATTACTAGTACTGCAAATTCTGTTTGATTTAATTGGGTAGCTTTGTCAGATAAAGATTTGCAGCCTGATCCTGTTACTATTTTCTCAAAAGGCAGTAGTACCCCTGAGGACTTGAGGTGTAAGATGGGTTGCTGTATGATAACTGACTTGGTGGAATGGTGGAAACTTCAGTGTACAGTCCTGTTTTTGAATATGCCGATTTTCTATGCCAATCATATGCCGATTTTCTATTGACAAGTCAACATTCAAAAGTTTTATGCCCATCCATAGTGAAGTAACACGTTCCCCTGGCTGGTGGAACATGTTCCCTGTTGAGATCAGGGCCCTGCGGGATCTTCTTCAACTCCGCAGGGCCTGCACAGACGGAGCTGTTCCGCCAGGCCTTTGGTTGTGGCAGCGGGCATCTGTGTATGGCCTCCCTAAGGTGGTTGTCACCCACCTATCAACCCAAACAATATGTCAGGGAACCTCTCACAGACAGATGACTTTGTTTGAACTGTGAGTTTTGCTCTTAATGTATATTCCTGTGTTTTAAATTTTAACTGTATTATTGTATTATTGACATGATGTTACTCGCTCTGAGCCCATTTGCGGTATGGGCAGGCTATAAATGCAAGTAATAAATACCTCTCACAGACAGATGACTTTGTTTGAACTGTGAGTTTTGCTCTTAATGTATATTCCTGTGTTCTAAATTTTAACTGTATGTTATTGTATTATTGACATGATGTTACTCGCTCTGAGCCCATTTGCGGTATGGGCAGGCTATAAATGCAAGTAATAAA